CCAAAATAGTTGATATGGCGGGATATGCCCCACCATCCAGATGTCAACAGCTTGGTTCCTCGCTTTGTTTGGATATAAGATAGCCCAGCCACACTCGGATCATTTGGGCGTGTGCGGAAGACGTTCTTCTGGGTGTTTGATGCTCGGAAGATGTACAAGCCCATAGCAAACACGGCACTAACAATTGCGACGCCCGCCCAACCAAGGTGTACCGGATATACGGAGAGATAGCGGCACTGAGTTGAGTACAGGAACGGAACCCAGACAATATCACCAAACGTAAGCATAAATCCAAGTCCGTCGGTGGTAGTGTCCATCATAGTCAAGATGGCCGACTCCTTGTGTTGGCCGTCAAGAGCATAGTACGTCTGCACAAACGCGGTAAAGACAATGCTATCCGACAACCGCCCATAAGTACGGTATTGCTTTGCGACAAAGGCGAGGTCCAGCAGGACCCAGCCGGTAAGGCCTGGACGCAGCTCTAGCCAGGTCTTGAGATCCACTTCACCGAAAAGAGGAAGAGTGACACGAGGATTCAACTCGCGGCCGATATAAAAGTCATAGATGGTATTGTCTGTATTTCCACGGATAGCCAGCTCACGCAGGTCCTTGTTAGGATAATTGGTATCCACGCTGAAGCTCTTGAGATAGACATAGACAGAGATTGCATAGGCTATCACAATGTTGGCCGTGAGCAGCTGCACGTAATTGTCTGTGATATACGTCCAGACGAAGAAATTGGCGCCCTGGAAGTATGTTCCAATGGCACAGACAGCCAAATGTACAATACTTGATGAGAATGCTATACTCCGTCAGCTCTGGTCTCCGCGCACAGTCAAGAGAACAAGTACTCACCGTTGAAGCGGTAATCCAATCCTTTCCCATGGTGAACGAGCTTCGTTCCCTTGATCTCCTGCGCTGGTAGAAATTTCCACAGGACCAAGCTGACCAGATAGTAGCCCAACACGACAGCGGTAACGTTCCAGCTGAAAAGGTCCCAGATGCCCCCGGCCGGCCATCCGCTCTCCAGCTTGAACTGCTCCCAGGTAAATGTCTTCGGGTACAGCAGTGACGGCACCGGACAGCCAGTCACATCGTTGCACCCGAATGCAAAGAAGAGCAGCAGCACCGGAAGGCCAAATGTTATGGCTGCCGCACCCGGTCTGCAGGTATCATCGTCAGCCAACCTGAGGGAGGACATAGATGTATCGAGCCGGGGGAGAAACTTACGGTCCGCCAAAGTCATACTTCTTCTCCACAGGTGAGGCTGTCATCTTTAGCCCACGGATATGTTCAGGTTATCCTGATCTCGTTGGTCTAGGCCGATGAAGAAGATTTTTGTTCCTGGCGGCCCAGGCCTAGTTATTTAAATAGGGGCTGTTTCTGTGTTTCTGGGCGCTTTTTTTTTTCTGATGGCGCCAGACGGAAGTAGCTGGCTCCGGCGGCCTTTATATGAATATCCCAATAGTCGATGTCAGAGGAGATCAAGATGGAGTCGCCGGCATAGGAAGAGTTGATGTGCCGTTACCATCGTTGACTGGGTCATTTACACGTTTACAGGGTAGCTAGTTATGGCTGGAGATAAAATCTGTGGGCCCCTTTTTGGTCGGGCATCTGGTTGTCGAGCCTGAGATCGTGATATAGAGAATAGAAGTAGGCTGGAGTAATATTTCAAAGTATTCCGACTGTCGTCTGCCAGCTATTTCAGTCCGATTCTTCATCTGTGGCCCTCTTGGCGGGCATCGGATGGCAGGAAATATCAGAATCTCCAGGAGTCGCTGGATGAACTTTTGACAGCCCACCCGCAACCCGGTCAAGTTGGTGGGATAACCACTTGTCTGCCATTTTTTACGGATTTCCAGTGCACAACAGCCTGTTTCTCTGGGACCATCCTGTGTCGTCAAGATGTGGTATGTCTGATACTCGATGTTGCTGCTCACTTGTGTACGAAACGGCCTCCGCTAACCCGCATGCTTCATAACAGCAAACACGTCCTTAACGCTCAAGTCGCGGTTCGATCGCCATGCTGTAAGCTCGCCGAATAAAACGATACCTGGGGGGAGTGCTATGCTTACATTGTTAGGCCGTAAATGGTTCGACTGCGCGGACTGTCACAGGGAGCAGGAAACCCACCAGCTACTTCCCTCGACAGAGATGGTGAGCTGAAGATACCAAACGAGAGGGAGGATCAGGCGTACCTAACGACTATACTAGACTCTTGCTTGCAAGAAGTGTAAGAAGTGTTTTAGAAAGGATGCCAATGAATTTGAAGAGAGGTGCGTTACTGTCACTGTTTAACCTGTTGGAGTTTTGACCATCTGACATTTTGCTGGATGTAGCGACGAGTACTGCCCACATTGCGATAACCATTTCGTTATAGACGCCCTTACGCCAAAGCCAGCTGTGAAGGTAGAAGGAGAGAATCCGCGAAAGGACTCGAGGATGCTGAAGGACGAGAGAGTAAGGGCGGAGGCAGAACGGTCGATATTTGATGTGAAGGATGCGCCAAATAGACTTGGATAGAGCGACCGTATGATGTTTTACGACGTACACGAAGAACGGGTGCCTCTTCAAAAGGGATAGATACAATTATTTATACCATATAAGAGCAGGCCGTAATAGAAGAAGATAAATCTTTTTCTTTTGATAAAATTGTATTCGTCTTGATGTTCGTTTACTCCTCAACGCCATAGCCATCTGCCGCGCTTCAGCTAGAGGAGCCTTCGCCAGACTGTCTGGGCAATAGAGTGGCAGTTCCCGTGCCAGGAGTCCTGCCAGTCTTCTTTTTGGCCGCCTCTTCCTGCTTCTCAGCTTCTATGCTCTTAACATGGGCCTCAATCTCGTCGTTAGGGAGAAGCTCCATTGGCTTTCCGGGGGCCATGATGGCAATCTCGATATTCTTCGCACCCGTCTGCACAACCTCAAGAAGAGATTTAATAGTAAGCTGGATAGTAGCCTCCCGGTCCATACCGTCCTTGTGATTTCGCTCAAGGAACTCCCTGACGGTCTTGCTAGATCGGCCGATGGCGTTGGCTTTCCTAAACTGGAGCATTAGCTCATTGCGCATCATACTATATATTTTTTTTTTATCTTAGACCCGAGATCAACGCACCATGCAGAGTATATGCCGGAGGGTTCTGTCTGGTAGAGTCGGGGTGTCTTGTCACCGTTATCGAAGCCAACAATCAGGGTACTGATTCCAAAAGGACGGACACCACCACTCTGTGTGTATCGTTGTTGGACACCAGCAACATATTTCGTAATATACTCAATCGTCACCGGGTCCTCAACCGTAAGTCGGTGTGACTGAGCCTCTACTCTAGCTTTGTCGACCAATATTCTAGCATCGGCATTAAGACCAGCAAAGGCGAGACAAACGTGGTTGTCAATGAGACCGATTTTCGAGGGTGTAATTCGTGTATCTTGTAGCTTCATCGCCGAACGCTTCTCGCAACCGAGCACCACAATGCCCTCACCTTTCACTCCAACAGCGCAAGTGCCTACTCGGTGTCAGTTTGGCGGAACCTGACCTGCAGGGCTATAGGCAGAAAGGGTATTGTTTACCTCGCTTGACAGCCTCCAAGGCATACTCTACTTGAAAGACATGTCCATCGGGACTATAGTGACAGGTTAGAGACGAAGAAACCCGCTAGAACAACAAGTGAAGCAATACCTAAAGACTGTAAGATAATTGTTAGCGGGCTGGTGATTGAACCTGGTGGGTGCTCTACCTACCTGAAAGAGCTCTGTCGTATCCTGAAGCCATGCTGAACTTTTAAATTGGCCACCACTCGGGATAAAAAGTCGGTAATAAAGGATACAAACAGGCAAGAAGGCTATCGTGGCTTTTATGGCGGCGTGGTAGGTTGGTGCGTTGCTGAGCGAGCTTTCACAGCAGACAGATAGATGAGTTACGGGTTGACGTGAGTTGCGGGTGCCTTGGAGCTCCGTCCAAGCAATCCGCGCGCCAAGCTAAGCGCGCGGCTTGGGCGGTCTATTCATTTACACCACTCTTCCTACACAACAACTCTCTGCTTATTTGACTAGGGACCGATTCCATCGCCATAATATTGACCTCTGGCAAGAATACTGTGGTTTCCACAACTTAACTTCACATTCGTGTGGATTAATTCCGTCCTGGCAAGGGAAACTCTGCTACCAGTATTTGAAAATGCCCTTTAGTGGACCATTGACGGGCGTCAGTGCCTCAGCTCTGAAGCAGACAACTATCAGAATTAACAGTAAAAAATATATCAACGGGCTGAAGCAGATTTTCGATGTTGTGAGTGCTTAGCTTCCCCTGGACATAAATAATAGAGAACTAATTATAGCAAGTAGCACATGTTGACACTAACAAGCTAATTAACCTCTCACCGGCATTCTTTTCTTTTTGAACGGCGGGTGGTATTTTCGGCTTCAGATGATGGCATTCATTTTAGCCGGATTCAAACCCCGGTGGCAACTATATACGGGCGCTGTATATGCCAACGATGGCAATGCTGCATATGATATCGAGCCAGGCGGTCAGAGAATGCCCACTCCTGGGGTCTCCAGAGGTTCAACACCTTGTTTGCCCGTAGAACCGGCCTTTCCGGGCCGATTATCGAACGAATACAGTGACAAGGAAAGGAGTGGGCGAAGGTAACTATCCAATGAGCCGGTCAAGTGGGGATGCTGGTGGAAGATGCAAGAGTTAATAAACGAACAAGTACATGCATGGACTGATTACTCAATAATGACAAAAGTTGCACCAACTCCATGGATAAAATCAACCTAATTGGCTTCGGTAAACGATGGCATGCTTCTTCGTGCTCAGGGTATGCAAAGGCATGCAAGTGTGGGGTAACTAATTTTATGGCGGTTTCTCCTAGGGAAAGTGAGGGGTTTCGGAATAGCAGTGTCGTCTATAAAAGTAGGCACACCTGCCGCTCAATCCCAGATCCTCTGGTTGAATACACAAATTCTCCGAGCAAGGGATTCCCTGGAAGACACAATAGGAAATGGCAAGCAAAGTCACCTTCACTCTCAATTCCGGGTATAAGATACCGGCAGTGGGCTTGGGAACATGGGTTAGTATATGCATCCGGAACAACCGAAGAGTTTGTGATGATTTTGGTTGGAACCTGCTAGTTAACACAACCATAACTAATTGACAGCAATCTAAACCGCACGAAGTTGAGAAAGCGGTCGAGGTAGCACTCAAGGCAGGATACAGGCATATCGATGGCGCATTTGCCTATAAAAATGAGACAGAAGTTGGCCTGGGCTTGAAGAATTCCGGAGTTCCTCGAGGGGAGGTTTTCTTGACTTCTAAACTATGGAATACCCACCACCGGCCCGAATTTGTTGAGGCTGCCTGCGATAAGACTCTTCGGGACCTTGGAGTTGATTATTTGGATCTTTACTTAATGCACTGGCCTGTGGCCTTTGTTCCCGGGGAAGCAGCGTTTCCAAAGGATACCGAAACGGGTCAACTTCTTTTGGACAATAAAGTTACCATCAAAGATACGTGGAGGGCAATGGAATCCCTAGTTAAGAAGGGCAAAGTAAGGAGCATTGGAGTGAGCAACTTTAGCAAAGAGAGAATCGAGGACCTACTTTCATAGTGAGTCTGCCAAATAGCACAATCTTCCCGTGCTGTATTCTCTTATATCAGTCTAACAAGGATGAAAGCGCCGAAATTCCCCCGGCAGTGAACCAGGTAGAGGCGCACCCATACTTTCAACAGGATGATCTAAAGAAATACTTGTGCGAAAAGAACATTCTGTTGGAAGCATACAGTCCCCTGGGAAACAATCTTCACAACATGCCTAGGTATGATATCACACAACTCGTCCCAGGACTTTCGTCGGTAAAGACTAAGTAGTTTGCAGAGCAATGGACGATGAAAAGATTCAAAAAATCGCGGAGGCACATGGAGTAAGTTCTGCTCGAGTCCTCATCGCATGGCATGTCCAACGTGGCACCGTGGTCCTTCCCAAAAGTGTTACTCCTGAACGAATTATCGACAACTTCAAGGGTCAGTTGGTTGCCTTTGCGCCCCTTTCTATTGATGTGATGCAAGTCAGGATGATTTCTAACGCACTGGCATATAGACTTTGAATTATCACAATCCGCAATGGAAGAAATAAATGCGCTTGATCGTAATGCCCGAGCCAGCCAACCTCTCTTCTGGGGAGTAGATATATTTGGTGAAAAGGGCGAAGAATATGTCAAAGAGATTGCAAAGAAGAGGGGGCTTGAGTATATTGCTAGCTTGAAGTAATAAACGGTACAGATTTAGCGAAACTATAGACCTGAAATGGAGGCCTAAAACAGCAATTTTGATTAAGGGTGAATTTTCTATGTTGCAATATTGTAGATGGTTGTGGGCTTTAGCTAACAATACAGCAAACTTCAAGCCTAAGGATAGCGATAGCTCTGGATTACGTGGCTAGGCCCTAAGAACTATCGTTACCCGTTGTCTGTTAGATACAGGGAAGGGGCAACCCAGACGGGACACTTGGGGCGAAACGTAAGTCGGGGATTCAATTCTCCATCCTGAACCAGAAATTGGTCTACCTAGCTAACTAACGACTCCTAAACATGGACGATAGAAGATATCCAAACCCTGAGGACTCGACTACTGTGCCGCAGGAGACATGAAAAAATTATTTCTTTTCTGTAGACTGAGAGCGTGTTGTGCTGCGGGACAATGGCCCAAGTCTTCTGTAGCTCGCATACGACAGGTATCTTCTTGTTCTGGATCAACCACCAAGGACATCTTTGATTCGAGACATAGCTTCTACAACTATACATCTGGAAGATGGATGTGAGTGATCTCTTTTGGGTAACTTATTGACCAACAAATAAGTAGCAGAATTGCTAAACAGTTTTTTAAGGTACAATGAAGCTAAGCGCCTATCAGAGCGTCATCTGCATTTTAATCTGCATGTACTGCTAAATATCATCGCAAAGTCTGTAGCTCGGCCAGAAGATGACATTACAGAGTTCTCTAAGATTGGCGAAGGCGGCTCATACCGTGTCTTTGAAGCCAAATTCGAAGATGGACTGGCAGTTATTGCTCGGTTACCCTATCCATGTACCATTCCGCCTACCTATGGGATTGCAAGTGAGGTTGCAACGATTGAATACCTTCGGCTGCAGGGCATTCCTATACCCAAGGTTCTGGACTGGAGCAGTTCCCCAGCCATTAATCCGCTTGGGGCAGAGTATGTCATAATGGAGAAGGCCAGGGGGAAGGAACTGGAAGCGACATGGTATTCAATGAACTTCGATGAACGGAAATCGGCCATGGAAAAGATTGTTGCCATTGAAAGCCTCCTTTTTAACCTTAAGCTCCCATCTTTTGGTAGCCTTTATTTTACAGACTCCTTACAGCACGGCACTGACGTTGTTGTTCTCCCTGACAATAACACCTTTTGTGTCGGGCCTTCCACAGAGTTCCTATGGTGGTATCACAAGCGAGGAGAATTGAAAACTAACAAAGGCCCTTGTATGATCTTTCAATGTATGTCAATGAAGATACTATATGGCTAACACGGTATAGGGAAGCTGCCTGCTGAATTGCTAAATTCTATTGGACTCCGAGAACTAGAGTGGCTTCGTGCCTTTGGGGCCCCAAGATACCCTAGAGAGCCTCTATATAGGCGACTGTATGGTAACGAGAAAGTAAATCCGGAGGTGCAAATCCGTAACCTCGAAGACTTCCTTTCAGTCGCTCCGCATATAATTCCAAGTCAGGAATTCCTTAATGAGCCAACTATTCGTCACCCAGATTTCTCACCGAATAATATATTTATAGACGATGCTGGGGAAATCAGCGGCATTATTGACTGGGAACACACTTCAATCCTTCCTCTTTTTGTCCAAGCAAAGATTCCAAGGTACTTTGAGAACTATGGAGATGAAGACTCAGAGAATTTTAAATTCCCTGCGTTAAGGGAGGATTTTAACTCGCTTCCCGACGATGAAAAAGAGCTGGAACAAGAAATGTATCGAAGGAGACAAACTCATTACTATTACCTCGGCTTTACCAGCCGCTATAATTTGAACCACTTTCGTACGATGGGAAGCTATAGCGGTATGATGCGGAGCCGGTTATATGATGTCGTCAATCGCCCCTGGGAAGGTGATAACACAACACTTAAGGCAACCCTCATCCAGATGTCTTCCTACTGGCCGGGGATTGCAGCTGCTAATATGAAAGACACACAGTACCCTTTAAAATATACACCAGAAGAGGTTAAACAATGCCTGAACCTAGATGCGGAACAAAAGACCGCGAATACTCAAATGCAAAATCTTAGGGATGCTATTGGGATAAATGTGGACGGCTGGGTACCAAGCGAAATGTACGAAGAAGCAGCAGAGCGAATGGCTCATGTAAAAGCACATATGCTAGAGATTGCTGAGACGGAGCAGGATCGGGAAGACATTTTGCAGAAATGGCCATTCCAGGATCATGAAGAGATAGATTAGTAGTAGTCTCTCATCTCTTATGGTTAGGTAGACTGTAGAAAATTCATACAGACTCAGAATTTTAGTACCCCTGCTTAATGTGAGCCTGGAGACCGGATTGTTATGAGAGCCCTGTTGTGTGGACATCGAGAAACCACCCAGATGCACCACCGGATATTAGTTAACATCAGGGCAATTGGATCTTCTCTACCGGCTAAAATATAACATATCCCAATAGCATCTAATAGATAGTAGCAATCGGGATATTAACCCTGTCAATCTTGAGACTGCCTGTTAATAGCTAAAAATAACTAGAAACTGACGTCGAAAGAGGAAAAGCCGAGATGAGGCTCAAGCTTCTTCCCGCGCCCAGGCCCGATCACGGGATTTAATTCCGAGGTCGGCAGTTTGCTTCTTTGATCTCAACAACTTCATGCAACACGGTCAAGCCAGGGATTTCCGGCCTTCGCATATCACAGGAGCCTTCGGTGATGTTGAGTTCAAGGAGGCTGTCATACGCTCTCCGTCGCGCTGGGGCGACGGGAGCCCGAATCACATTCGCGAATTACCCTGCCCTTCGTCCTGCTATCGCCCATTTCTCTTCTTCGACAAGCCGGCATCTTCCTGAGACAGCCAATGCGCCAACCTCAAAAGCAACAAAATATACTACCGATGCATACCCAAAACTGAAACGAAACCCTAATTTTGCCCAATTGACCGGAGAACATGTTCAGTATTTCAAGGAGCTTCTGGGAGAAGGTTCGGCTGTTGTGGATGGAGTAACGACCGATGCAACGGACGATATCGAACCCTTCAACCGCGACTGGATGAAAAAGTACAGAGGCCACACAAAACTGGTGCTGAGACCAAAGACGACAGGAGAAGTGAGCAAAATACTTCAATACTGTAATTCGCAGAAGCTCGCCGTCGTGCCTCAGGGCGGAAATACAGGCCTCGTCGGAGGATCGGTCCCTGTTTTCGATGAGATTGTTGTGAACCTCTCTCGCATGAACAACATTCGATCTTTTGACGAGAATTCGGGAGTCTTGGCTGTTGATGCTGGAGTAATTTTGGAGGTTGCTGATAACTACCTGGCGGAGAGAAAGCACATATTCCCCCTGGATCTAGGTGCGAAGGGTTCGTGTCAAATTGGCGGCAATGTTGCAACGAACGCCGGAGGTCTCCGTTTACTTCGATACGGAAGTTTACATGGAAACGTCCTTGGAATTGAAGCGGTATTGCCTGATGGGACTATAATGGAAGATATGTCCCTGCTAAGGAAGAATAACACTGGATACGATCTAAAACAACTGTTCATCGGCGGCGAAGGGACAATAGGGATCATAACTGGAGTTTCGATAATATGCCCTCAACGACCAAAGGCAACAAATGTCGCTTTTTTTGGTCTAGAAAGTTTTGAACATGTTCGCAAGGCCTTCCTGGAAGCTAAGGGCCAGCTATCGGAAATCCTATCTGCCTTCGAGCTGATGGATGGACAGAGTCAAAAAATCGTCCGTAAGGTTACGGGTTTAAAACACCCGCTTGAAGGGTCATATCCGTTTTACTGCTTGGTTGAGACAAGTGCTTCGAATGGCGAACATGACAATGCAAAACTCGAGGCCTTCTTGGAGCATGTCATGGGAGAGAGTATTGTCGCAGATGGTGTGTTGGCCCAGGACGAGTCCCAAGCACAAGCCCTATGGCGCTGGAGAGAGGGTGTCACAGAGTCGCTCAGTCATCTTGGTGGCACGTACAAGTACGACGTGTCGATACCGCTAGCAGAGTTGTACCAGCTTGTTGATGACACGCGAGACCGTCTCTCAAAAGCCGGTCTCATTGGAAATGATGACAGCTTCCCAGTTCATGAGGTTGTTGGTTATGGACACATGGGTGATTCCAATCTTCATCTGAATGTTGCTGTGCGCCAGTATAGCAAGGAAGTCGAGAAGGCGATCGAACCCTGGGTGTATGAATGGATAGCGAAGCGCAATGGCAGTATAAGCGCGGAACACGGTCTTGGGATAGCAAAGAAGGAGTATATTGGCTATAGTAAGAATGACTCGATGGTAAAATTGATGCAACAGCTCAAGAAGCTCTACGACCCGGTAAGTCACTCATCTTCCTCCCCGCTGGCTGTGATGGCTGGCTGTGATGTTTCGACTAACATTGCCATAATAGAACGGGATAATGAACCCATATAAATATATATAACCGGCAGTCTCATGCCTCGCTACCAAACTATAGACACCGTCATCTCCCTGCAAAAGCATCTCGTATCACTAGCAACATCCTTGCCTCTCGGTTCTGTTCCTTGCATGGTAGAAATACTTCGGTAAACATAAAAAAAGAAATTTACGTCAACATCACGTGCAAACTATTCCAAACTCTGGCACTTCTTTTTAAAGTTGCGGCTGTTGCCATAGACAACAACATGTTGACGACCTTGAGGGAGATATGCAGAAAAATTAGTATTTTATTTCATCATCTTAATCCAGGACTCGTCGAGCTGCAGCTCTCGAGGGACAGAGGCGTCGACATCACTCGCTCTATAACGGCGTTCCCTATCCTGAGGGTTTGCGTGCCGTGCTTTCCTCTATTCTTTGAGACAAAGACAATAAAAAGGGGGCGGAGAGAGCTCGCATCTCACAGCAATGGCGGACGAAAGTGGGATGGCAGCGAAGTACCAGATGCTGGAGGAGCTTGGAAGTATGCATATTTGCACAGGTTACCACTGATCACGTCTCGAATCCTGCTAATGACATCGACTACTACTAGGTGGGAGCTTTGGAACTGTTTACAAAGCAATTGACAGAGCTACGGGCGAAATTGTTGCCATCAAACACGTATGTTATGAACTGGAATTACTGAACTGACAAGGCCATAACTGATTGGTATTTACACGGTCTAGATTGATCTCGAGTCCAGCGACGATGATATACAAGAAATTCAACAAGAGATCACAGTTCTGTCGACCTGCGCCAGTCCTTATGTCACGCAGTACAAGACCAGTTTCCTCCGAGGATACAAGTTATGGATTGTGATGGAATATTTGGGAGGAGGCTCTTGTCTCGATCTGGTGAGGATATGTTTACTCTTATGCATTACGGAAGTTATGTGATCCTAACGCGGATGCAGCTCAAACCAGGCGTGTTTAACGAGGCACACATCGCGATCATTTGCCGTGAACTGCTTCTCGGATTAGATTATCTCCATCAGGAGGGCAAGATCCATCGCGACATAAAGGCGGCGAACGTTCTTCTGTCACATACCGGGAAGGTAAAGCTGGCAGACTTTGGCGTTGCTGCCCAACTTACCAACATCAAATCGCAACGCAACACCTTCGTCGGAACCCCATTTTGGATGGCACCAGAAGTTATTCAGCAAGCTGGATATGATTTCAAGGCCGATATCTGGTCACTTGGTATCACGACAATGGAAATGATAAACGGCGAGCCACCACACGCCAGTACGCATCCGATGAAGGTGTTGTTTCTGATACCAAAGGCGTCAGCTCCACGGTTAGAAGGTGCAGCCTACAGCTGGCAACTCAAAGATTTCATTGCCCAGTGCCTTGAGAAAGATCCTGATAAGCGTCCTACCGCGAAGGAGCTCCTCAAACATAAGTTTATCCGTAGCGCTGGCAAGACCGAGGCTCTCCAAGAACTCATACAACGACGACAAGAATGGGAAGCTACAAAAGGCCTTGCGGCTAATATAAAATACTACGCGGAACCAATGTATGGAACCACGCCCTTGGCTATTATATTCGAGTTGCTAACACCAGTGTAGGGATACAATTACAAATAAGAATACCGATGATGACGCTTGGGTGTTTGACACGATAAAACCCGGTACCCCTGCCCCGTCAAAGAGCCATCATATAAAGAATCAACCTTCAGTTTCCAACCCAGAAGATGCTTATGAGCCATCAGAATCCATGTACAATCTAACCTTGGAAAGCGAATTTTCTGGTCCTAAGCCTGTCGCAAACTCAACTGTTCGTCGCACCCGCGGTACGGTAGCTAGAACACCGTCAAAGCGCTCCACTAGACGTCGATCAAGTAGCGTCAAGCAGCCTCTCGGTTTGGATATGACGTTTGGGAATTCACCTTCAACAGTGAGACAATTCCGTCGAGTCTCCGATAGGCAAAACTCCCTTGATGGCAATTCCGGATATGTTCCGGGAATGAATGAGAACTCTATGCCTAAAACGCTATTCACCGAGCCCAACAGCAAAGAAGCAATCTTAGGCCGGAGGATGTATAATTCTGGCATTGGGCTTACCTGCCAGGAGGTGTTGGCAAATACCAGTGACCAAGAGAAGCGAGAGGCAATATCGCGACTGGCAGAAGCTTTCAGTGATCTCGAGATGATTGACCCCGAAGGACTATATCACATTGTTAAGTCCTCTTTTGAGAAACTTCAAGCGTAAGTAGTTCCCCTTGTAACCCGTGAATACACGAAACCCTTGCTAACTACTCTTAGTGATCCGAAACTATCAGCCATACTTCCGAAGCCAGCTCCAGAAACGCCACAAAAGCCAAAACTGGTCCTTGCTCAGAATAACCCACATCTAAAAAGCCACAGACGAAGACAATCAGCTCAGGTTCAGTCAGAACAGAACTGGAATTCTGGATCCACCATGGCTGGGCAACACCCGATTGGAATGGAGCATACTAAACAGCTTGCTGATGTTCTATATACCCGCTGGACTGACGGGCTCCGAAACAGATGGCCTGCAGTATAATACTATAATACCTTGCGACACTAGCCTTTGCTTAAATGGTACAGGCTACCTACCTCCAGTATTTGTGTACATAAACTGTACATTACCCGATCTTTTGTGTTTACCGTTTGGATCATGTTCGTGTTGCATTGCTTGTGATCTGTTGAGACCTGTTCGAGTCATATACCGGCGGCTACCTTTGGAGTTTTGTTCTTCTTTCCCTCGCTATTGATTATTGGAAGCATCGTTCATACTATTCATAAGCTCGCTTCAAGGCCTTCTGCTGGAACTGGAA